TTTTTCCTTAAAAAAATAATTTTTTTTACGTGTTTTTTTACGCAGTTTTCATTTCCACTAACTCCCCTCCCTCCCCATTATCGTCACGCTATTGGTTATATAAAATTCCTTATCAAATCTCTATGCCTTATCAATCTTATCCCAAATAATCTCGTTTTTCCTGTTCCCCTGATTCATCTAATCGTTATATTATATTCTTGACATCTTTCAATCTTAAAATTCCTTGGTATTATCGTATACCATTTTTTTTCTTCTCCTATCTGTCGCGCACTTCTCAGCTTCGCTTTCAACCTATCTTCTTTGGGTATGTATGAATAACAAAAAAAAACACATATCAATCATCTTATAAAATGTCGATCTTTACAATTCGAACACTTCAGGGACTCGTTTAAAGATATACCCGTATTTTTTTTATTTTTATACACTTTATATAAAAAAAAAGAAAGAAATATAAACCAATCAAAAATTAAAATTGAAAAATAGTCGCTATTGGATAAAACGACCTCTTTAAAATCATAAATTATAAGTTATAATTCATATTTGAATCAAATGGAAATAAAATCTTCCATATTCAACTATAATTTTTTTTTTTAATCTTTTTATTATTCAAATTTTAAAATTCAAAAATGCTTTTTAATTGAATATTGAAAGATCGATACATACATAAATATATTCATTTTAAAATACATTATATATTGCATAAAATATAAAATGTCATTCATTATTCTCAACACAGACATCAAAAAGAAAATAGGTAGGCTAGAGAGTATTAGTAAAATTTATTTTATTTTCCTGACTAGCTTTATTGAATCCCGTTAAAGACAGTAAAGAAGGATTTGGAGAAGGCTTTTAAATACAAAATGGCGCTTCCCTGGTTACTTAAGATCCTTGAGATAGTTTGCTGTATTGAAGCAAGAATTTGGCAGAACAACTGACAAATTGGACACACAATAAATACGTAAGCAACGTTTGATAGCGATTACCTTCCTTAAGACAGGGGCCAAAACGAGAAAACGTAACTACGATTTCTTTGTGGTATGAACCACTTGACTTTTATCGTGCAATCGAATCTTTACCATTACCTGTCACATAATAATTTTATAAATCAAAAGGATTATGCCAATCAAAAATGACGAATGGTCAGACCAATCATCTTTATTTTACAAATTATTTGGAAGAAAAAAAACAATACGTTTTAACGTTAACAATTAATAGCATTGATTACTAAGTTAATGTACCATAGTTGGTAAGTAAGATTGCCTGAAGGAAAAATTCCTTGTAAATCCTGTATACTTTATAGCCCCAGGTTGCGCTTAGCACTAAGAGGATGAAAACTGTATCATGTATATACCTTTTTGTCAGTCATATTGACCTTAAAATTTAGCAAATCGAAGGAAAGTTTCAAGAAGTAGGTGGTAAACGGATACATTATAATCATGATTATCGTTATATAATAGATGTCTAGACTTTTGTACCATCTATGATCAAAATCTTCAGGTTTGCGTGATATTTTTATGGACAAAATACTGAGTTAGGCCGTTATTAAAAATCGGCTCAAAATGAACCGTTTTAACAACACTAATTCCAGCACCATATCTGCCTTAATAGATTTTAGACTTCATCATTGAATTTTTTTTGAGGGGGGGGGGGGGGGGATGATGTAAATTGTGCATTTTTTGGGTATAGTTTTATGATTCTATGTAATTTCGGGGTCCTAATATTGCTATAAATAGTCCCAGATGGAATAAATTAACGTGTTTTCGTCTTCTGTAGCAAACCGTAAAAGCTTTTTTTCCCCAATCGCTAAATCCCCTATTGTCCAAATTCATCGTTTGGACCACTTAATGCGTTAATGGTCACTTTATAACTAATATTTTTTATAGTTATATGCTCTTGTAATATCAATTTTGTATAAATTAAAAGAAATAATAATTTTCTAAAAATTTTGTCTGTATTCTCATTTAGGCTAATTGAGATTGTGAAATTAAAATTTAATAGTCCGGTCCCAACCGAGAGAATGTCGATCCGAATTTAGCCGGAGCTGTCCGTGAAGGGTCCTAATACTATAAAACTATAAGCTTCATTTTTTCTTAAATACCCGGGCCGGGCGGATCAAATATTTTAATATTTAAAAAAAATAGGGGCAGGTCCGGTTCGAGTATTTTAAATAAACTACGAGCTGGGTAGAAATAAATTTTTTAAAAAAAATCCACGCCATGTAAAATAGTACCTCTTGAGGTTTCTGATATATATATTTTTTTTAAAAAAAATCGATAATACTTTATGGAAAAAATTACTAACGTATCTTACACACGTGATAAAAAAAAAGGTTATTATTATATTGAATCGGGTTACAAAACAGCTAACTCAATATTTCATCCAGAAAAATATTATGCAAGCCCTTCTGTTAGGTCTAGACATATATTATCGAAATCTCGAAGCTTATAGGCAATATTTTTAAATTTCGGCTCAAAACGAGCGGTTTAACAACACCGGTTACAAGTATTCGCGGTAAAACTGTCCCGACTTTTTGTGACCAAATTTAATTGGTTCATATGATTTTATTTAAAAAATAACAATTTCAATAATTCATTATTGATTTTTTTAGGGAATTTAAATAAAAAATTTCTTTCGTTTACATAGTTATATATATATATATATGTATATATATAATACACAAGTTGAATTTTTTTATATAATACCAGAAGTCTTAATTAGAAGAATATAATAATTGGTAAAGTGACCTATAACATATACAATATTCTCAGTTTAAAAAAGTAAATAATTCACGGGGTAATAATTTATAATTGTATTTCATATTCAGTTTTTAACGACACAAACTCAATTATTTATATAATAGAATATGATATAATCGAATTAAAAGTGATAGTTAAATAATGCATTGGTTGGGGAGGAAATTTAACCCTCTCACCCCCCCCCCTTCGGGGAAAATGAACGGGTTACATGCTTTGATAGAATTTTAAAAAATAAATCGCGCGAAAATAATTATATTAACAAATCAAGTTTTCGAAGAAATTACAATTCTTACATAGTGTCTAAAATGAAGTTCAAATTCAACATGCGGTAAACTCGAAAGAAAAAAAATGATTCGATCACGTGAACGCGTAATCGGTTATCAAGACAGTTAAATTGTTGACGGTTATTTCGTGAGTTTTGGCGGTATTCAAATCAATAAGCTGTTTGTAATAATGGCGCGAACTTTTGCTTTTACAAAACGGGTCAAAATTTGGGGTTACGAATTGTTGATCTTTTGATTGGATATCGACTGCCACATTATCGAGCGACGGGGACGTGGCGACTAACGAGGCGGAACTGTAATATAATGTTGTGTTGTTTTTTTAGAAAAGATGAAATTACTCGCAAATTAAAAGTTGAAAACAAAATTTATTTTTTGAATGACCAATTACCGATCAACGAGACAAACATTTATACACTAAAAAAAAAGATCGTCGCATCGATCATCTGGCCGGACAAAACCCCGATATAAAAAATGTCTACGAGTCGGACTGACCTCTAATCTGGTTATATTTATATTTACTGATTTTCTGAGCCCTTTTGGGAAGAAGAACTTTTTAAGTTAAGAAAATAGGAACTAAAAAATATAATAAATTATTCGAAAGTAAAAAAAAAATAAACCAATTAATTTCGGGGCTCGCGGAGATAATTTGATCTTTATCGAAGCCATCTTTGTTATGACCGCATCGAGAAAATACTGGCAGCCCTATCGCCACGCTAGAACTTACGGTATTGAGAGTTATGATATCGTTATCGACGGAATTTTTGTTCGAAACGTTTATTTGGTTGTCGGTGGGAACTGATAAAGAGCCATGGTTATTTTTTATAGTCGATTCTATTAAATCACGTGTTTCGGTGGTTTCGACGACGATATTCGTGTCTATATCGTTGGCGATCGGGCGTGATATTTCGAGATTAGACTTGGAAAGTTGTTGATGCCCAACGCCAGATAGAGGGAGACTGCCTTTACTCTCCCCTCGGATACCGCGCAACTCTCCAGTACTTCTGCGCATATTTCGCAAATTTTTCTTGAAAAAACCCTCGAGTTCGGGCCCCTTCAATTCTTTGTTGTATTTCCAGAGCTTGGACAAGTCCTTACGAATTTCGTTGATGTACATCTCATCTTCGCTGTCAATCGAGGAGAAGCTCTCCAGCTTTTCCGAAGGAGAGAGGGCGGGAATCCTTTTGATTCTCCTAATTCTTCGGTAAAATTTCCTGGCTTTTCCACCAGCTGAGCTTGCATTAAGGTCAAAGCTAGAATTGCATTCTTTAGTGGCACTGTTATTAATGCTAGCGGGGTGGTTTGAACGAAGTGGCAAATCGCTGAAGGAGTATTCTGATAATTTAACTGGCCGCTTGGGAGTGAACGTTTTTAGTAGAGGAGTCGAACAACCGGATGTGGTATTACTGGGAATTACGTTGAAATGCGAAGAAGTCCTATTTTTCTCCAACGGATAAGGAATCGTAATATTCAGGGGGTTTCCAAGATCGCTTTTAGACGTTTGGTAGTTGGCCGTAAAGGGGTAGAGGTAAGAATCAGGATTATTGGAACATTTGGAATAAACACCCTCGCGTATGTCGCTCTTCCGATAGGAAGTCAAATCAAGTGGACCTGTGACTAAACTGTTATGCCCACCTACTAGTTGTGTCTCATTACAGTTTCCCGTTTTAAAACAATTGGCATCTACGTAGTTTCGGGAACAAATTTTTTTCCCGCTTGAACTCTCTACAAGAGGAAGTGGCATGGAGTTATCAAATGTGGGAGGAAATAAAGGCGTGGTGCTTGACTTGAATTGGTTTAAGTAATTGTAATGGTGAGGTTGTTTGGTCGATAAGAATCTCTCATTAAAATAGTCATTCCGAACATTTTGGGAAAGTGTACCGCTTGTCGCCGCGGTGGCGTATGAGGTATTGTCGTTACGGGCAAAGTTAGGAGTGTACGGAGAGGGCAGGTGGGGTGAAGGAAAAAAAGAGGGAGGGTAATAGAAAGGTGGCTTGTTCCGAAAATAGTCTTCGAAGGACCGCATAGCGTTGTTCATGTGAAGGTTATGCTGCTTGTTATTGGACATGAGATTAATGTTGTACACGTTAAAGGTGGGCCTATAAAAGTTGTAAAAAGGAGGAAAAATCTGTGGTCCCCTTGACAACGGCGGGAGTGTGCCGCGTTCTATCGCGATTAACGGAAACGACGTTATTCGTTTTTTTATTCGGGTACGCAAAGGAATCTGGAGAGTAGGGGAGGTTAATATTATTAACGCAGGGGTATTTCGGATCATGGTCTTCGAGATATTTGAGGTGCTGGAGGGTTTTCGCGTGGTTACTGGCATGGCCGGCAGTCAAATCGACGCTCCTTTCGTCACCAATGGCGCAATGCGAATTATCGGAGTTATTGCCATTGGAGGAACGTTGGATTTCTTCGTTTTTGGTTACCAATTTTTTCCAAGAATTTATAAAACGGTCGAAATGGTTGGAAGCGATCGGCACTTGAGGAGAAGAAACGAGGGTGGCGTGCGAGGAAGTATCCCTGTTAGCGGATGACGTCATCATGAGCTTGGCTAGGAAGGAATGGGGCGATTTGGCCTTATTTTCATCGTAAGCCCCCAGATCTAGGATAACGGGTGGGGTAGTTGGGAAATAATTAGGGTGCGGGTTGTTACCAGGTTGCGGATCAAAATTATTGACATCCTTAAGGTCTGGCGGTTTATTAATGTTGATGGCACTTTGGCCTGATATAATACGGTGTTTTTTGGAATGATGAATCGTGGATGATTCTAAAAAATAAAAAAAAACAAATTATTACCAGATTTTATGACAAATTTCAGAAGATTAAAGATCGGGTTTTGTTCTAAAAAATCTAAACAGCGGGCCGAACCGGGTTTTTCCGGAAGTAAAATATTAAAAATCCGGGTGGAAATCGAAAACGAAATTTTTTAAAAAAAATATCCGATCAGAGAAATCATGTAAAGATTATATTGAAATATAACTCACTAGTGGAGTGTTCATTTCTAATGAAAGGCGTTACAATGCCAACTTTCGAAGATTGTTGTGGATGTTGAGATTGAGATTTTTCTTCTATCTTTGGTTCCTCTTTGCAATAATTATCCGACCGAAAAATATCATCACGAAGGGCAGGGTTTGCACATATATTATCGGTGGATGTCGAAGAGTTATGGCTATGATTCGGCCCCATCATAAGGTGACCGGATGTGGCTAAGAGCAGCAAAGAATTGGCGGCAACTTTCTTCTTGTTGCAAGAGCCGGGCTTTCGACCTTTCCTTTTTTTAACGCTTGCCGCGTTATCGTTGCTAATACCGACGCCGCCAAAATCGTCGCAGTTAACGGTGGACGATAGAATGGGCTCTTTATCCTTTTTCGTTGCCGCGGCGAAATTTTTGTCATCTTTCGGAATGGGTATCGAATTGGTATTGGGTTCAGATTTAGGGCGTTTTTTGGCTGGGAATTTAGTTTTTCCCGTAGTATTATTGTCGATATTTATGATTAAATTATTATTGTTTATATCAGCAGGGCTAGGTGCTGTTTTAACGGCAACTTTTTTGCAGTTTTTCTGGGCGGGTTTTAGCGCGCTATCCGGTGTAGACGCCGGTTTCTTTTTGTCCTTTTTTTTCGTGGGAGGAGATTTAATGGATTTGTCGGCGGTAGTGACAGGAATAATTAAAGGTGAAGAATGATGGAAGTTATCGGACAACTTTCTTTTACCGATAATTTTCTCCTCCTTCTGCCCTCCTACCTTGTGGACCAAGTTATCAGCGCGATCAACCTTTTTAGGTTTGACCTTCTCTTTGATTTGAGATGAGGGGCAGCCGGGTAAAACGATTCCGCCCGAAGTTTCGATAACTGCGTCAGAAGTGTTAGGCCCCATTTTTGATTCCTCGTTGGTTTTTTTGTCGATAGCGGGAGAACGAGGAGATTTGTCGATAGCACCGAAATCCACGCGTTTGCCGAGGTCTGAGGGCGAAGAAACTTTCCCGGAAGAATCGAGAGCGGAAGTAATAGGATTGACGCTTTTCGCAGCCGAGACCTGTTGAGCTAATGTTTGCGTACTTAACCGAGGTTTTCTGATTTATTTTATTTTGAAAAAGAATTATAAAATTATTTTCTTTTTTACGCAATAAATCATATGGCGGGTGAATAGTTTAAATCCGCGTGGAGCGTTAAAATAAAGAAAAAAAAATCAAATTTAGCCTTAGACCTTAGATATGATTTCTACAGGTTTATGTATTTACCTTAGATAGTCATGGTGTTATATATATTTTTTTTGAAACTATTAAATTTGAAATGTGCCGTAATTGACCTTTTTCGACAAGTAAATGTCAGTTCAAAAATGGGAAGAAGTGAATAGAGAACGTAGACCAAACAGTGAGGAAGATTTATGGACAGCCCATCCCCTGAATACCTTCGGACAGAAAAACGGTTCTGACTAAGTCTCTGCTATTAAAAATTCCCGCTAAATAGAGCTTAGAATTTCTGAACCCGATTTCGAGTTCGAAATCAGCTAGTTCTTAGCAGGAATCCAAACTGTATAACAAATATCGGTTCATATCTGGTTTCATTAAAAATAAAGGTTTATGGTTCCGGATCGGGTCCAAAAAAATAATATCGGTTCGGTTTGAACCTCTAAAAACCGGTAACTTTTCACGTACAAACATGTTAGAATTATGTAAAGAAAAATATTCCCTAAAACATTAACAAGACTTTCTAAAATGTATAATATATAAGGATTATGATTGAGAACACAATGCTAACCTGAGTTAAATATTTATAAAAATAAATATTGATTTATCACAAAACTCACTATTAATTTATCTTTAGAAATGAGTTAAAATATCAAAGGGTTCAAACCTATTAAGGCGCATTTTTAAAGGTTAAGTTCATGCGACATTTTTTCAGGATTCAGGTTTGGTTAAGATTTAATAAATGTTAACGGTTAATACCCGTTCTACGATTCGTTGTCAATCCCCAGTTTTTAGAGACCCAAATCTAAAAAGAATGTCTGGTTATGGGTTGCTAGGGGTTAACTTTAAACTCTGAAAAATATTGTATTTTATCAAAAAATTTACCGTGTAGAAGTTCCTTTTCGTGTATCGCACATTTGACAAGTGAAGGTGTTGTTGGCATTCTTGAAGGTGCATATGGTGCAATCCCAAGAAGAACGGCCGTTACCTTTCTTGCCAGATCCGCCATTTTTATCGAGGGATTTGTTATTGACTCTATTACCACCACTGCTTCTGTTCTCGTGATTGGGCATATTAGAAACGTTTTTCTGTTTCGGGGAGTATTTGTTACCGACAAGAGGATCGTTGACTGTTAACGGGAGTTTCTTTGATTTCGTCTTGGTGGGTTGTTTACCGGCGATAATGTCGTCATCTTCGCTGTCATCGCTGGTTACTGATGATTTATCGTTATCCTCATCTATGACCAAGCGAGAATTACAGCCTTTGTCGTGACGGGGATTTTGGTGTCCTAATCTAGTCTCCGCTGATTCTGCGGATAAATTGCGTCTTCGTTTAACGTGAGCAGCACGAGATGATACACTTTTTAAAGAGTTTTTTTTTTAAAAAATATTTAAGGTAGATAATATTCCGATATATTCAGGAAACGAGGAAAATAAGATTTTCAACAAAACAGTTGTAGTTTTTGAAAAGAGATCGAAAAAATAATAATTGGCGGCAAGTGACACAAAGACAAATTTTTGCTTATTTAAAAAAAGAAAAAATACTCTCGAAGCAGTTTAATTTAATACGAGTAAATGACATCGGTTACATCTTTTATTGTTAAAAATTATAAGGAATAGATAAGTTTTTACGAACAAAAAATTACAAAAAAATAATTTTTTTAATAAAAAACATTTTTTTTAATGTAAAATTGTGTGTTTTGTTCGTTTTTTTTTTGACGATCAATAAATATTTTTTTTTTAAAAAAGGCAAAATAAAATGTAGATAATTAGATAATTTTTTGGTAAAACGATAATTTATAATAGGTTTTTTGAACATGCGCATAAGGTTTTTTTAAATTCGAATAATATGATTGGTTTATTTATAGGCTTCATAATTTAGATAAAAATACTGTTTAGCTTTTGTTTTTAACCCATATATGATTTTCTAGTTTCTAAAATATTCTCCAAGTCGCCCTTCCAGCGAAACTCCAATAAATGACAACATTAGCTCAAGCCTTTATTAGGCCAATCCAACTGAAGAGAGAAAATCTATTTTATCCTTTCATCACGACACAGCCGCTGGTAATGATGGCATCCATCTAATTTTCCTATAGAATCTGAACAATTTAGTGATTGACAAGGCTCCGTACCTTCAGATAAAGGGTCAATGTTTTTTTTTGGGGGGAAGGGGGTTACAACTACTTGCCTTAGAAAAACCTACTTGAAGACATACGACCAATAGCAATCGGAGCTATCTTTCGAAGGATAATTACCAAACTAATATCCTCTGATATAAAAACAAAAATGTCGCGACTCACCTACCAAGCCTCAATCAACTTGCCGCCTACGTAACCCGCATATATCTCTCAAACGATCGCCAGAACAAAATTCCTTGAAATAGATTTCGCTAATGCCTATCGCGATTTATTTCCTTCTATATATAAATGGTAATTCTGCTCGCCTACGAAGGCTCGCGTTGTTGGCGGCGACTGCGCCACTTCTTCCAAAAAAAAACAACTGATTAAACACTGGCACAAATTGGAGATATTACTACGTCTTCTGCCAGCTGATCAATAGCATTTTATCCTGTAAATATCATTTTAAGCTAATAAGAATTTTCCCTATACGCACTCCCCATCCCTAGTAAGGAATAATTTGAAAGAAAAATTAGTAAAAATTAATTATCTCTATAAAAATCTTAGCTTAAAGGTCTACAAAAATGGAAAAGAAAATTCACCCATTTGTGTTCCCCCACCCCACCACCCTTTTAGCAAAATCCTGGACACGCCCTGAAGAAGCTTCTTAGAAATTAATTAAAACATTTATCTATGAGATAAAAAAAAATAGAAAATACACCACCTAAATCATTTGTGTGAAAGTTAGTAAGATAGTTTTAAATTGAAAATATTAATATTATTGTTTATGACATCGGTTCGAATAATAGATGGTTAATAAATCATAAAAATATCGAATCGGTAAATAACATTATATCGGTAAAAAATTTGTGAGTGGCCATTACTTAAAATCAAATTAAAATATTGAGAGATGATCAGACTGACGTGACGATAGCATTCATTAAAAGTGTATATCAATGAAAACAGCTGGGGACGCCATTTTGGTTACCCATATCAGGCCAATTTATTCTTATGCCTGACGCATACTTTATTAAAGAATTGCCCTGATCTCGAGATATTAAGGAAGCAAGTTATCAATTTAATAGTAGTTTTTAACGCGAGAATAATTACTGTGGGTCACCAAAATGGCGGGTCCAGCTGATTTGCATTTCAATAATGCTTTCAAATGCATTATTATGAATGCATCGTCAGTCTAGATATTATTATATGTCATTCATTGGAGATGATCCAATCACGTCAAAATCACAGAAAATAGGAGTTGATTTGATTCCTTAGATGAATTTTTATAAAAAAAAAATATTCTTTTTGGCGAATATTCCCTTTAGGGGGGAAAGAGAGAAATTTGATGAAATTTAAAAATTAGAAGGAAATATAAATATTTAGTTATTTAAAATTTCCCAATCTGTTTAATTTTTTTTTAAAAGGAATATTTATATTTAATTATTTTTCTTTCTTTCTTTATCTTTTCTTTTCATTTCTTTAAAAAATTTTTCAAATATATCCGGGTCTTGGTTCTCTCTTTTCCTTCAGATTTCTAAGAAGAAAGAAAAAAATATGCTCTTCGTCTCGGCTCTCGTTTTGAGACGATTTTTAAGTACGGCAAACTCAATATTTCGTCCAGAAAAAAAATATTATGCAAAGGCAAGCCTGAAGATTTTGCTCATAGAAGGAAAGTTCTAGACATATCGTCGGTCTAGAATTGGAGTGCTCCAACTCGACATTTTCAAAATTTTTGAGTTAGAAGTGGGATAATACTTTATTCCCAATTTTGACACTGTCAAAATTGATCAATAAGTTATTCCTATATTTGATTTTCTCATTTTTTTTAAACATTAGCGCAGATGGAGCACTCCAATTCTAGGCCGACGGTATATTATCGAAATTGGCCAAAATATTGAGTTATCCGTTTTTAAAAAATAGGCTTAAAACGTGCCTTTTAACAACACTACTACTCATCTCATAGTTAAATGATACTTTTTAAATGGATCAAAGATACAGATACATCGTCTAATATAATATCTAGATACAAACATTTTAATCAAATATCTATTTAGATACAGATACCACATTTTTATATCTAGATACACTTGTATCTAGATCCTTTAACAACTCTTTCTTTGATGCCAAGAAAAATAATAATTAATTAATTATTTATTACTTTTATTTTTAAAGAAATTATATTTTATTTTATTTTTTTTTTGAATATATTAAATAAATGAAAAAAATTGATATACTTTAATTTTTACTAATAAATTTTGAAATAAAAATTAATGAATCCAAAATTAACCCCTTAGAAGGAGGTCAATAATATATTTTTTTAGGGCTTTTTTTTATATATAGGATAAAAATGTTATTTTTTATATTTCAAATCTAATTATTCGCAATCTTAAAAATAATGGACAATTTATTTTTTCAGGTTAAGAATTTTTTTTATCTGCAAAGGTGCACCACCCAATCACATTAATATCAACCTTATAATGATGATTGATTCATTTATAAAATACATTTAAAAAGTGGCAAAAGGCATTTTAGACGAAATTTAAAAATCATTTTTTTTAACTAACATCCAATCAAATTGATTACAGCCGAACTTCAATATTTAACAAATTAATAGTATGACTACTAGGTCAGTATTTATGTGTCATTGAGTGTACCCGACAAAAATTCTAATGGGATCCTTACCATCATTGGATACATCTACATGTAGTAAATTTTACTTGGGGTAAGTCTTCTACATCAGTTGTTAAATCGCTTCGCACTAGCCGATAGCCAGCTCGGCAAAAATAAAAATTGGCGAAATGAGATGAAAAATAAAAAACCCCGGTCAGGTCGACTAAAAAAATCAAGACCTGTTCACCGGTCTTGACAACTGGGTTTTTTATCTAACCACGATTTCTAAAAAAAAGTGATTTATTTTTCGTGTTCCAGGTTTCGTTTGGAATCTTAATATTTTTGTCTAAGATATAAACCTGGGTGGAGCCCATAAATAGGTCAGTATTTATGTGTCATTGGGTGTACCCGACAAAAATTTTAATGGGCTCCTTACCATCATTGGATACATCTACATGTAGTAAATTTTACTTGGGGTAAGTCTGCTACATCGCCTCTGCCTGTCCAAGCCAGTCGGAAATATCTAGTATTTTTTATATAGATTTTCCCCAAGGAAAATACGGAAATAATTCTATTTTTAAATTTAATTTAAATCGATTTTTATAAAAATTGAAATTTAAAAAAAAAAAAAAATTTGATAAAAAGTATCCGTTTGGCTTTCCCTCTCTTCCTCAATTTTTTTCGGAAAACTTTAAAAATAGCTTTAGTAATTTTGATTTTATGAAAAAATTTTAGTTAATGGATATAAGGCCTAGAGATCTGCAAACCCGGCCCGAACCCGGCCCGGTCCGAACGGGCGTCGGGTCGGGCTTTGGAATTTTAAAATAAAAATATGCGATTTTTTTTATAGAAACTAGACGCCACATGACATATATATTTTATTTTGAGTAATTACAATATTTTTAAAAGGAAATTAATTTCTATATTTAAATACGGGCCGGGCCGGTAAATTTATTTTAAAAAAAATCGGGTTCGAGCCGGGCCGGGCCGGGCTTGAAAAATTAGGCCCGATGTAGATAACTAATAGGGCCTCCAAAAAGTCGAATCACGAAATATTCCTATAAGATTATTGATTCGAAAGCATATATAAAGGTTAGTTATTAGCTGTGTAATCCTTAATAGCGGTTTTGGGGGGGGGAGAGAGAACAAAAAAATCTTATTAAAATTTAAATTTTCCACTGGTGGTGACTTGTAACATTAAGTAGACCATTTTATTTCATTGATATTTTGTCTAGATCCTAACACTGTTATCGTTAGGTTTAAATGATCAGAGGTGAAACGCTAAAACTTGGGTGCCCCCGCCAAAATTTACATGATTTGAAGCAAAACTTTAAACGCCTCCGTATCCGCAAAAATTTAGCCTATGGGGCTTCCGCCCCGCAAGGCCTGGTGTCTGTTACGCTTATGGTGGAGATCTGCTTTGGAATAAATTTCGACGCCAAGTGTGATTTTTTTTTAAAAAAATGGATAAAAGGAGGATATTAAATGCTGTGGAAGATAAGAGAGAAGAGTAATAAATAAAAATAAAAAAACCTAATGGTATTGTAATCAACCAACACCATTCAATTATTTGTGAGTAAAATTCATGATTTTCATCTGATAATTTCTTTTTGTAAAATCCAAACGCATATGT